AATGAGTCAGTGCCCGTCACGGGAATGGGGGAAAGACGCCAGGCCCAGAGCTGAAATACCTGTTTCGAAATGGCTTCTATGTTTATCTCTCCAGAGAGGAATTTTAAAAGCCTCCCTCTGCTCCTCTCTTTCCCCGGGGTGGGGGAGGGGCCCTGGTAAGCGTGGCTGGATCTTTGCAGCTAGCTGCTGCAACGCGAGGCCTTTCAGGGGTCAGCCGACTGGGCAGTGGGTGCCCACTTCAGAGGTCTCTTGGCCTCTTCCCCCTCCCCCGTCAACCATGCCCAAGGCTTGGATTTGAAGCAAATTGGCAGTCAGGACTGCTGAGTCTCTCCCTGGCAGTCCTTGGGGAATTCAGTGAAGCTGACCAGCTTGAAGGAGGGGAGGCACTTTCCCCCTACGAACACCACCCACCCTGCAGGCTGGAGCCAGGTGTCTGGAGCTGGGGGAGGGGCTGGTGGGCGGTAGAGCTCGTGCCTGTGTGGCTGGGGGAGGGGGCTGAAGGAGGGGGATCTGGCTCCACCTGGGGAGGAGGGGAGGGAGTAGAGTAGCAGCCTCGGGTCAGAGAACTACAGTGATGCTTTAGGGAGTTGGGGTGCAGCTTTGGCGATGAAGAGGGATATTTGGGGGTGCTTGACAAGAGGATGGGGAGACCAGGGCATAAATATGAATAGAAAGAAAGGCAGACTGGTGTGAACTGGTGAGAATGATTTAACTGAAAGGACTGGGGGCCTTACTTGTGGGCCTAGGTTTGACCTAAAAAGAAGTTTGGAGGGAAAAGTGAAGCTGGGAAGAGACTAGTGGGTTGGGAAAGAGGGGAGTTAGAAAAGACATAGATGTGATGGTGTTCAGGTCAAGACCGGGCAGCATGGATTCTGACAGCAGAAATGCCTTAGCAGGGTGTGATGGTGTACACCTGTAATCCCAGGGCTGGGAAGGCTGAGGTGGGAGAGCTTCAGGGAGTTCGAGGCCATCCTCAGAGAGCTCTAGAGACATTCAGAAGTCTATCTGGGGGCTTATAGAAAATGCATTGGTGTCTGAGATATTGGGTGAATGCTTCCTGGAGGATGAAAAGGAGATAATGGTTGGGGGAGGAGATGTTTGGGGATGAAGAGAGATGAAGATTAGCCAGGCATGGTGACATATGTGCTTGTCACCTCTGAGCTTTGGGAGGCTGAGGCAGGAGAATCACAAGTTGCCTGGGCGCCTTAGTGAGACCCTCCCTGTCTTACAGTAAAAAAAAAAAGTAAAGGACTGATGCTGTAGCTTAGTGGTAGAGATTGAACTCCCTGGTTTAATCCCAGCGAGATGAAGATTGGTAAATATTGGGGGTTGAGATTTTGGGAAAGTATTTAGAGGCTTCAGTGTGAAAGGGATGGGGCCATATTAACAGCTGGAGGCTGAAGGCCCTGGCCTGGCTTCTGAATGACACCCTGCTTCCTCCCTTTTTATTGCCCCCCCCCACCAGGTTCCATGATGAGGACTACATAGTACATGTGCGATTGAACGACTACCTGGATATTATCTGCCCCCACTATGAGGATGACTCTGTGGCTGACACTGCCATGGAGCGGTACACACTATACCTGGTGGAGTATGAGGAGTACGCAGTGTGCCAGCCCCAATCCAAAGACCAGGTCCGCTGGCGGTGCAACCAGCCCAGCGCCAAGCATGGCCCAGAGAAGCTGTCTGAGAAGTTCCAGCGCTTCACACCTTTCACCTTGGGCAAGGAATTCAAGGAAGGACATAGCTACTACTACATCTGTGAGTACAGAGTAGGCAGGCACACAAGGGCTCACTCCGGGCGCAGCAGCATGATGCCATGGTGCCTGTGCCTGGGTAACTGGTTACTGGGGAGCCAAGTAGCACAGGGCCCCCTGAATTCTGTTTTCATTCATTCCATCACAAATGTAGAGTGAGCGTCTGTGTACTGGGCATTCTGCTGGGCAAAATGGGTACACTGTTAAATAAAACACTTCAGAGCCCCTGTCTTCACAGAAGCTATGTCACACACTAGAACACAGCGATAAGGCAACATGAGCATTGGGGCCTTAGAAAAATGGCTTATATGCTTGCCAGTTTAGGAGACACAGAAGAAGCTGAGCAAGGAAATGACACCAGAGCTTAAGACAAAAAGGAGTGCCATGCTGGCCCCGCCCCTGGGGCACACTGAGACAGCAATTGAGACTGGGCATGGTGGCGTGCGCCTGTGATCCCAGTGCTCGGGAGGCTGAAACAGGAGAATCACTACAAGTCCAATCTGTGTAGTGAGACCCTGTACTACAAATACAAAAATAATAATAATAATTGGAGAAGCTAGCCGGGTACAAGGGTACATGTGCTGAAGGAACTCCAGGAGTGGGATGCACATAGGAAGTAGGTAGAGACAAGCTTGGAAAGCAGACAGGACAGATCAGAACTATTCTAAACAGTTTAGAGTTTACCTTGAGGATGGTGGAAAGTCCAGACGGATTTTAAGTTACAAGGTCAGCTTTATGTAGAACAGATTTAGGGTTCACTAGGTAAAAGTGGTATAAGATGGCCCAGGTGGAGGGGACTATATTGTGAATGCCTTACCAAACTCCAGCATGCGGGTATGAAGGATAGAATGGGTCTGTCTTCTTTTCACCACATCTGCCAAACTTAGGGTTGTTCCAGAGACTGGGACATGGGCAGCAAGTGGGTAAGAATCATGATGAGAGGAAAGGGAGTGATTCAAGTGATGAGGAAGCTGAGGAATCGGGGCCAGACACATTTGGGCTTATAGCTATTTCTAACAAAGGTTCTTTGCTTAATTCCCTGTGGGTTTATCTTGTAGCCAAACCCATCTCCCATCAAGAAAACTACTGCTTGAAGTTGAAGGTGACTGTCGATGGCAAGATCAGTGAGTGTCAAGCCCTGTTGGCCTCCCCTCCATCTCTAGTGATCCGGGAGGGTACGGAAGTCCCACCACCCAGCCCACCCAATGCTCACACCTTCTGTCTCCCTTGTAAAATTGCTCATCAACTCCACTCTTTGTCTTTCAGCTCACAGTCCACAGGCCCATGCCAATCCACAAGAGAAGAGACTTCAGTCAGGTGGGTAGCTGGGTCCGGAACACAGGAAGGGATCTATGAGGAGGCTGGGTTTGGGAAGTGGCTCCTTAGCCAGTCTGGGGCTTGGAAACCCTGCTGGGCTGAAGGGTAGTGCAAACAGCAGGGCCACTTACCCTGAGGATCTTTGTCCTCTCACCTTGCAGATGATCCGGAAGTGCAGGTTCTACACAGCATTGGTTATAGTGCTGCCCCCCGCCTCTTCCCACTTGCTTGGGTTGTGCTGCTCCTGCCATTGATGCTGCTGCAAACTCAGTGAAGGTGTACACAACATCAAGAAATGGAACTGGGCTAAGGGGCTAGGGACAAGCATCTGTTACTTGTCCTGGGGTGGGCCCCAATGCTCCAGCCCTGGGAACCACTCCTACTACATGCACAAGCTGCTACCCATCAGCCTCAAAATGGGTCAGTATTAAGGGTTTCCACCATGCTGTCAATGCCATCCCCACCTGCACTTTAAAGGGATGGAGTAAGAAGTGGGTGCGGCCCTTTGCCCACCGTTCCTGCCAAAGAAACAAGCTATGCAGACATGGCCCCTTGAGAGGGCACAGTGGGAGCCAAGCTGGAAAGGGCCTGAGGCCATGCAGATGGACACTAAGCCTGGTACGAGGTGGCATAAGATGCCTCTCCTAGAGAAAGCCAGCATGCCCAGATGACTGACTGAAGGAAAGAAGGGACAGTTTCTTGCACAGGAGCCAGGTACAGGAGAGGCAGCATGCTTGGGCTGCCCCAGCATTTCGCAGCAAGGCTTCCATCTCAGGAGCTGCCAGGCACGGCATCCTGTCTCCCCATCCTGGGGCAGCACTCCAAAGAGCTGTGCCAGCAGGGGGCTGTGCCAACCTGTTCTTAGAGTAGAACTATAAGGGCAGTGCCCTTGTGTACAGTCTGCCTAGAGTATAGCCTAAAGGGCTGGGCCCTCGTGTACAGTGTCTGTATATAAACTTGCCATGTGTCTGCTGATTTCTACAACTGGAAGTTGTTTATTTTTTTTTTATACAATGTTCTTTGTCTCAAAATAAAGCGATGTGTTTGTGTTTTTGGACATGTTTTTAAATGAGCATAGAGTCCCTGCTGTGTACTAGGCTCTGCTGCATCAGAAGCAACTGGGTGTGGATTTTCTCCAAGAAGTACAGGCCAGAAGGTTGGGTGGTTCTTCTCTGAGGATTGTGCAGGGCAGGAGTGCTCCCCACAGCATTCTCTGCGCCCCACTATGGAAGTTCTTCCTGTTCAACCTCTGCCCCACTCCCACCCCCTCAGCACTGGGCTTGGCATGCTACTCAGGTACTTATGCTGGCTGTCTGGGTGACTCAAGGAATCCAGATGCCAGCTGAAGCATGCACCCCACCCCACAGCCCCACAGCGGAGATGTGGCAGGCTAGGAGGGAGCATTCCCAGCAGCAAACAGGTTGGACCATGGGGCCAGTGGCAAGGACTCAAGTGGACTGGCAGATCATATAAATTTGGCCCTGTGACTGAAGGAGGGCCTCTGGCGAAGGAAGACCATAATTCCTGGCATGACCAGGTATTTAGGGGAGGCAGGGAAGGAGTTTCAGTGAACTCGAGGGAAATCTTCCCAAATCCTCCACCATTGAGGTCCAGATTTGGAGCTCCGGACAGGAGACGTGCAGTCTGGGAAGTCTAGCTTTTCAGGTCCACCACGTGGGTGTCTTGGGAACACAAAAATTGGGTCTAGGGGTCTAAACAATCCAAGGGGTATGCAAAGCGAGGGGTAAAACTAGTACACATACACAGAGCCCCAGGAACCGGACCTGGAGGACCACTCCAGCGAAAAGGACCCACGCACAGCCCGAGGTGCGCTGACGTCAGGAGGGGCGGGGCCTGAGTTCCGGCGTGGCGTTCTAGGACAGGGCGGGTTTCCGGGCATTGGGGGGACGCGGGGGCGGGGCCGGGCACACGCCTTGTTGGTCTTTAACGTCGCTGCCTCCAGGGCTGAGCTGTCCAGAGCCGGGGATCCGATTGGGGCAGAATGGAGACGGGCAGCGTGGCCGACTCGCTCCTTTCCGGAGCTTGCGTGGTCTTCACCCTTGGCATGTTCTCCACCGGCCTGTGAGAGTGCAGCCTGGGGTGGGCTGGGGCAGGACCAGGAAGTCAGGAAAGGAAAACGAATGGACAGAGCTGTGGCCATGTCCCCAGGCTGCATCCGGAACCCGCAGTCAAAAGTGGAATCGGGTCAAGGGATTGGGATGCAAGGGCAAGCCTGAAGGAAAAGGCAGGGGGCCAGGGGGATGGGTCTGCTGTCATGAGGGAGGATGACAACATCGGGAGTCTCCCACTTACCCACCACCCCTCCCTTTGGGGCCCCATTACAGCTCGGACCTTAGGCACATGCAGAGGACCCGGAGCGTGGACAGCGTCCAATTCCTGCCCTTTCTCACCACGGATGTCAAGTGAGAGGGACGAGGGCTTGTGGCGGGAAAGGCTACTTGGGGGTGGCCGGGAGGAACTGGAGGAAGAGGCCCCTGGGGACCCTGTCACTTTCAGCCCTGCATCCCAATTCTGCCCCTCCTCCCTGCAGCAACCTGGGCTGGCTGAGTTACGGGGTCTTGAAGGGAGACGGGACCCTCATTGTCGTCAACGCCGTAGGTGCTGTGCTTCAGACCCTGTATATCCTGGCCTATCTTCACTACTGCCCGCAGAAGGTAGAGGCCCTCCCTTGGACCCACTTCTGCTGCGTGCCCTGCCTTGCTGGCAGGACAAACATTACTTCCTAGAACACTTAACAGGCTGGCACTGTCACCTTTTCCTAGAAGGTCCTCCAGCCCTGCAATTACACTTCCTCTTTGAAGCCCGCCTTCTGAGATTCACACATTGCTCCCCATTCCAGCAAGGCTGTAGCTCTGCCTGGCCTAGGGATGCCTGTGCTGCCCTAAGCTTACCCCTAGCATGCTGAAGAGAAAGGGCTTTTGTTTCTAGAGTTCCTTCAGGGCCATTGGCTGAGAGATGATTAGCTCTCTTCCCCATTCTTTCCACAAGCACTTATTTATTAGAATCCTATGTCAATGCCAAGTTCACAGAAAAAAAAAAAAAAAAAAAGGTACCTTTCCCTCTCCCAGAGGTCTTCAGTGTTGTATGATAGAACTATTCTATTAAATCACTGGGGGAAAAAAACTGACAGTTGCAATACTAGAAGCTGCCACAAAGGTTGGCTTTCCCAGTGGAGAGTAGGAGAGGGCAGGATGAATTAATTCCAGCACCAAGGTCAGACGGTGCTCTGGGCATGCCTAGAACCCTCTCTTCCCTGCAGCGTGTTGTGCTTCTACAGACTGCAACCCTACTGGGGGTTCTTCTCATGGGTTATGGCTACTTTTGGCTCCTGATGCCGGATGATGAGGCCCGGCTTCAGCAGCTCGGCCTCTTCTGCAGCGTCTTCACCATCAGCATGTATCTCTCACCACTGGCTGACTTGGTGAGTGGGGAATTCAGGGGGTTGGAAGTTAAGGGCCAGGGCCAGGCTCCCATGGCCAGAGAATGTGGCTTACACTCCAAAAGAAAGGGCAATCTGGGTCCTGCTAGGAGACCAGACAGTGGAGGTCAGTGAGTGGGAAGCAGAAAGGTTGGGTAACAGACCAGGGAGGGATCATGAGTTCATGCCCACGTTGGTAATTTAGTGACTTAGCAAATAAAATCTAACCTTTCTCCTAAGAAAATTCTTAGGCAACCTGGGCACTTTGCTATGTGCCTGGTCCAGAGTCTTTCATCCCTTCTCACAGGCCAAGGTCATTCAAACTAAATCAACCCATCGTCTCTCCTTCTCACTCACCATTGCCACTCTCCTTACCTCTGCCTCGTGGTCCCTCTATGGGTTTCGACTCAGAGATCTCTACATCATGGTAAGCAGAACATAGATGGGGTGGAAAACTGGTTCCCGTGACAGTAGCCACCTTTATTTTTCCAGGTAGGGTTTCACTATGTATTTCAGGCTACCTTTGAACTATGTAGCCCATGCTGGCCTTGCACTCATGTCAATCCTCCTGCCTCAGCCTTCCAAGTTCAGGGATTACAGGCATATATGCTCTTTTTCTTTTTTCCAGATAGGGTCTATGTAGTTCAGACTAACCTTAAAATCACTCTGTAATACTGACTGGCCTCGAACTTTGAGTGCTCCTCCTGCCTCAGCTCCAAGTGCTGACATTACAGGCCTGAGCTACCACACCTGACTTATAGCAGCCCTTTTATTGCAGGTCCCCAATCTTCCAGGAATCCTTACCAGCTTTATCAGATTCTGGCTTTTCTGGAAGTACCCCCCAGAGCAAGACAAGAGTTATCGGCTTCTGCAAACCTGAGGCAGCTCATCTGAACACTTAGGCACCCTAAAGCCAACTTGATACCAAAGAGTTCCTTGTTTCAAATGGTCCTGGTGACCTGTTCCATGGGTGCAGTGGGTTGTGGAAGAGACAACTTTGAAAGTAGAGGGTTCAAAAAGTGACCTTCACTCAGAAGATTGGGTGGGACTTATGAGATGAAATCACTTATTTGCTTGAGAAATTTATCTTTTTTTTAATTTTGGAGGTTGGGGTGCTATCTTTACACTGTGCCTTAAAATAAATTGTTCCCCATCCCTGCCAATCAGAGCTTATTCTTTATTCATGATTCTCAACCTGCCTAGTTTGGTGAAAGGTAGATCCAGCTATTCTTGGGTTGAGCTGGCTTAGAAAAGATATCTAAAAGAGCCAAGAGATTGGAAAGTCCTGGGAAGCTTAAAAAAGAACAGAGCTCTGACCTAGGTATGTTGATGCACACCTATAATCCCAGCACTGGCAAGCTGGGGCAGAAGGATCATGAGTTCATACCCAGGTTGGTAATTTAGTGACTTAGCAAATAAAATAATAAAGGGCTATGGACATGGCTCAGTGTGAAAGCCCTGGGTTCATTCCCTAGTGCCCTTTTCTTTCTTTCTTTTTTTTTTTTTGTATGTGGGATCGAACTTATGATCCTGTGTTTGCCAGGCAGGCACTTAAACTGCTATACTACCTCCCAGGCTAAAACTTTTTTTTTATAATTAAAAAAATCTTTTATTTATTCATTTATTTGGTACCATGTCTCCCCATACAGCTTGGACTCATAGGGATCCTCGTCTCAGCCTCTGCTGTGCTGGGATCACAGGCCACCACACCTGGTTTCAGTGGCCCACACAGTGTACCAGGGTTCTGGGGCCAGCATGGCATGTGGTACCAGGGATAGAACCTGGGTCCTTGCACTTACCAAGTAGGCACTTAGACCACCAAGCTATTTGCCCAGCCCTAAAATTTTATTTTTAAAAGATCAGAGTTTGGAAGTTATAAAGAATGGAAATTAGATTTAAGATGCACTTTTTTTTTTTTGGTGGTATTGGGGATTGAACTCAGGACCTGCACTTGCCAACCAGGTGCTTATTCTACTGAGCTATCTCCCTGGCACCTAAGATGCACTTCTAAAAAAAACAAAAAACAAAAAACAAACCCAAAAACTTCCTTGCATTTGATTTCCTAGTACTGCACAAAAATCTTCCTAGGGGCCGGGGAGATGGCTCAGTAGGATAAGCGCTTGACTGGCAAACGCAAGGATCTGAGTTCAATGACCGGTTCCACAAAAAAAAAAAAAAAAAAAAAAAAATCTTCCTGACGGGATTAAAAGAACCAGTAAAGTGAAATATTTCCATCCCGAGATCTTTAATAAAGTGTCCTTGCCTTCTTTGGAACAAAAATGGAGAACATTTTGCAAGATGCAAAGGTAATACTGAGATGACCTCAGGACGGTGGCTCCTCCACCTCTCACTTCACAACCGCTGGTATAGTCCCCATCCCCTACTCTCTACGTAAACCGGACGAGGTTAAAAAATAAATTTGCTTTTTAATAGGATGGGAGGGTCCTCCTCGGGCTGGAGGGGGTAAAGCGTCAGAAGCGCAGACCCCTGCGGCCTAAGTCTGCGCGGGCCTCCTGGATCTGACTCTGCAGCTCGCGGGCGGCGTCCTCGCAGTCGTGGAACGTGGCCACGCGATAGCCCACAGTGCCCAAAGCATAGCAGCCGGCGGCCACCAGCAGGTAGGCAGGCAGTGGCCACAGGACTTCCCGGCAGGGCGAGGGTAACTCCAAGCCTAGCGCTCCCACGGTCAGGGCCGCCCAGGCGGAGCCCAGGAGGGCCAGTGCCCAAAGCCACTGCGCCAATTTCGTCATGGTCACTGCGAGGAGAAAAAAACGATGCTTGGGTCCCTTCCACTTGGTAACCCACTCCACCTCTGAGACTCAATGCTCATCCCTCCCACCCTCCTCGCCCTCTACCCTCCCCTTCTGCCCAGTGGTACCTCCTTGGTGCTCCTTTGCCGCGCTGCCCGGCCGGAACCCGAGGCCCGGAAGTCCTCCGCGCGGCCTTCTGGGAGTTGTAGTTTTGGGGGGCCTTCTGGGAGTTGTGGTCCTGGAGGTTGGGGGTGGGGTCCTGCCTGGCTCTCTGAGAGCCTGGAAGGATTCAGCCTTGTTTCGAAAATGGTTGGCTGGGTGTGCAAGCCCCCGACACCCCAGTCATCCTTCAGGGTCCTGCTCCTAGCTGAGGTGGTGCTCGTAGAAAGGCTGAGACTGCCCTAAATGTAATGTCGCAACAAGGTGGAAATGTAGTATCGGTTCCCTAAGTTCTGTCCCCCAGCGCAATGAATTCAAGGCTTGCTTACAAAGGGAGACCCAATCCCAAAACAAAACAAAAGTAATAAAATTAAAATTGAAACGTTAAGAAAGAAAAGCACACTTTCAGGCCAGAGAAATTATCTGATGTTTGATGTGGTTAAGGTATTGAGAGAAGTTATACTTCTTTCAAAGAGGGCGGAGGATGAATTCATGATTGATGCCTAGAAAAACCAAGTCAAAGAAAACGTTAAGCAGCTGGGTGTGGTAGCACAGGTAGCTCAGACCTGCAGTTCCCACACTTGGGGAAGCTGAGACAGAATGATCTGAAGTTCGAGGCCAGCCTGGGAAATCTGGCAATTTAGCAAGACCCCAGTCCGCATGGGGGGTGGAGTGGAGGCAAGAGACAGAGAGACAGAGACACAGAGAGAAACACAGTATAAAATAGGTCCTGGATTCAATCCCCAGTGCTAGATTGCCGTGATAGTGTAGACCTGTGATCCCCACACTCAGGATTAAAACTAGGCTCATCTCTTTCACCATGCGCTAAACTAAAGTTGAAATGGATCAAAGATCTAAATCTAAAAATAGAAAAAATAAATAAATAAATATAAAAATAGAAACACTAGGCTGGTGAGCTAGCTCAGCGGTCTAAAACGCCTGCTTAGGCAAGCTTAGGCAGGTGCAGTCAGGCAGGTGCAGGGGACTGCGGTTCGATCCCAGGCGACACATGCGCCAGCTCAGCTCTCAGGCAGGCTGAACCAGCACCCCCTAAAAAGAGAAAGAAACACTATGCCTGCTCTAGGATAGGTAGAACTCTTGAAGACATTGGCGTAGACAAAAACTGAACAAAACCTTATCACACAGGAAATAGCACAAAGAACCAACACCTGGGATCTCATCTTATTTTTTAATAATAAGATGCTTGGCCAGGGAGATGGCTCAGTAGAATAAGCGCTTGCCTGGCAAGCGCAAGGGCCTGAGTTCAGTCCCCGGTTCCGACAAAAAAAAAAAAAAGAATAATAATAAGATGCTTTTTGCACCATCCAAGGAGACCACCAAAGGTGAAGAGGCAACCCACAGTGTGGGAAAAAAAAATTGCCAGCAGTTCCTTGGACAAAGGTAGAATATATAAAGAACTCCAAAAAATCAGACCCTAGGGCCGGGGAGATGGCTCAGTGGATTAAGCGCTTTCCTGGCAAGCGCAAGGGCCTGAATTCAATCCCCAGTTCTGCCAAAAAAATAAAATAATAATAACAATAATAATAATCAGACCCTAGGCCAGGCACATGTCTGGTCCATATCTGTGATCCCAGCACTTGGGAGTCTGAGGCAGAAGGATTATTGTGAGTTTGAGACTAGCGTGAGTGACAGAGTGAGCTCAAGACCAACCTGGAAAAAAAAAATAAAAGACCAGCCTGAACTGCATAGCAAGACCCTCTCTCAAAAAGACATAAATAAATAAATAAATCTCTACAAATTTAAAAATCCAATCCAAAAATGGGCATCTGAAATGAATGCACCCTTCTCAGATGAAGTAAAAACAGCAAGTAAATATATGAAAAAATGTTCAACATTGCTGGTCATTTGACAGATGCAAAGTTTTAAAATGCTGATATTCCATCTCCACAAAGAATAACCATTACCAAGAAATCCATACTGGGGGCCGGGGAGATGGCTCAGTGGAATAAGCACTTCCCTGGCAAGCGCAAGGGCCTGAGTTCAATCCTTGGTACCGCAAAAAGAAAAAAGAAATCCGGACTGGGGAGATAGCTCAGTAGAATAAGCGCTTCCCTGGCAAACGCAAGGACCTGAGTTCAATCCCCGGTTCCGGGGGTGGGGTGGAGTGGGGTAATTCCACCACTACAAAAGGTGGCAGGGCTGTGGGGGGAAAAGGGACCTTTGTGTTGGTGGGAGTGTAGACTGGGGCAGACACTGAGAATCACTGTGGAGATCCCTCAAAAAACTAAAACCGGTTTCATTCGATTTAGCTAAAACATCATACCACAGCAATATATGCATATCCATATGTAGCAGCACAGTTTGTAATACCTAAATCTTGGAGACACCTCAAATGCCCATCAACTGATGAAGGTATAAAGACAATGTGATTTTGTATTCAAGGGAGTACTGCTCTGCCTTAAAGAAGGATAAACCTGAGACATTTCTAGCTAAATGAATGCACCTTGAGACTGTACTCTTTAAGTGAAATAAACTGGATACACATGTTTAAATACTGAATTCTTTCTCTGGTATAAGAAACTGAAAGGGTAAATAAGGACCAAAATGTATATTAGATATTGGGAAATGGGAAGAAAAAGTTCAAATTATGAGGGGGAGGAGAAAGGAAGGAGAGGGAAAGAAAAAAAGAAAAAATGGAAACAAAGCTTTTGTAAATGAGGCGAACAAGGTTGAAGGGAGGGAGGGTGGGGAAAAAGCAAGCTGTAACGTGTACAGGTACAAATTCCTTGTGATGAATATTATCATTATGTATATCTAAAATGTACCAATAAAAATTGAAATTTGTGCATCTCATGTATGATAGTGTCAGTTTGAATATGAAATTACACACTAGATTGGATCAACATAGTTTTGGATGTGGCTGAGAAGATTTGCTGGAATCTATAGGGTGTGAGTGACAGCAACCAATAGGCTTGGTGCCTAAACATTCTTCTGTTTCTTTCTTTCTTTCTTTCTTTTCTTTTTTTTTTCTTTCTTTTTTTTTTTTTTTTTTTTTTTTTTTTTTTTTTTGCAGGACCGCGGATTGAACTCAGGCCCTTGCACTTGCCTGGGAAGCACTTATTCCACTGAGCCATCTCCCCGGCCCCTCTTCTGTTTCTTTAAAGAAGCTACAGTAAGTCTTCACTTTTACTCTGGAAGCTGCATCAGAGTTTTACTAGAGGAACTGATATAACACAAGGTGTATAAATGTATAAGAAATTCTAAGATTGACTGTAAACAGGCGGATCACTACAAGTCTGGTCAAGAAGGAGAAGGAGAAGAAGGAAGAAGAAGAAGAAGAAGAAGAAGAA